CTCCTCTTATCTTGAAAACCAAACAAAATGATGGACCCTGGAAGGAAAAGTTCTTTTTTGTGAGGCGAGACTATATCGACGGTGGAGATCTCTTTCCTAAAGCTTGGGTTAAAAATAGTAGGATCTTATTTATTGATATTAAGGATCCAAGGATTAAAGTTTCTTATTTTGTTCATTTTGATGCAGGTTACAAGTTTGGTGAAGCTTTCCCTGCTGCCGATGATAAGGTGATGCGTTTTCTTGATTTACCTGCAGACGTGAGACCATTCATGCTTGAGTCTCCTAGTATTCAAAAAGGTTCATCTACAACAGCTTCGATGGCCACTGCTAAGGATCCTTCTCAGTGTATTTATCTATTTTATCATCAGGATCCTAATTTTATGGGGATCCTTCTTATTGTATAGGGTCCAAAAACACTCGTTCTAGCGCTCGATTTGTCTTATCCGAGCTTGAAGATAACATGTCTAGCAGTTTGCTCATGGTGAAGAAGGAAAAGGTCCATGCTTCTCTTACTCCTAAGAAGACTCAGCTCGACCTCACTTTGAATACCCCGACATCTCGGAGGAGGAAACCATCTAATGCCTAGGATCTTTAGTATCTTGGAACAGAGGAGACATTAAAGAAGTTGATTTCCTTCTCCCAATCCATGAGTATTCCTGTGTTCATTTCCATTTAGTTTTGTTATCTATTTACCATTCTTCCTCTTAGGTTATTGATCATGTCTTTCTCTTTGATTAGAATCTCAAAGCCAAGCTCGCTCACACAGAGTATGCTTTGAGGGAGCAAGAGGGAGTCAACAAGGATCTCCTACAGGGATTAGAGAAGCTGTACAGAGAGAAAGCTGAAAAGGAAAATGAGCATGTGGCTGAGATGGATGACGTGATTGCTAAAGTGAGGATGAGTGTTGCTGTTTCTGTCTGGGATGAAAAAATTAAGCTTGTGGAGGATCTTGAGAATGCGGGATCCTAGAATGTAGCAGGATGGCGTAAGGCCTTGAGCAAATTGACTGGCGAGCCTGCTGGTGCCAATCAGGATCCTGCATCGCAGCCAAAGGAAGGAGGAAAGAAGACAGATGTGGCTTCGGGTGGTGGTGATCAATCTGGAGCTTAAGATTGATTTAGTTTAAAAACAATTTGAAAAAAATTGGTTCTGTAAACAATATTTTACGCTTTCTTTTGTGGGGTTGGTGGGCAACCCCTTTTATGCTATGGTTGTTTTATATCCTCTGCTTGCATGGTTAATTCTAATGATATGCTTGTATGAATTCAGAGGGTGTTTAAGGTTTGGAATAATTAATCATTAGTTTAGGATCTTAAAGCAGTTAAGATCTTTAGGAGAATAAAACTCCTGATCATTGCATAGGAAAATAACTTTAAGGATAGATAAAAACATGTTCATCCTTAGGATTTGTGACCATTTGACTCATTAGAAGTCTTGAAGCTTCCATATGGAAAAGATCTTTGCTTTAGGAGTTCATCAGGGAGGATCCTTAACTTGGTGAACTGGGAAGGATCCCACCTTAAGAATCAGTTGGAAATAACGCCATCTTGAAGAAAAATCGGGGAAACTCTTGTTTTGCATGATAATGTCACAAGCCTTGCATATTTTCAGGGGAGTATCCCATCTTCGGACATCATGTTAATGTTATAGTTCTTAGCATACCATTGGGGAAAATCCCAATTTTACGGCAACACGTTAGTGTTACAAGCATTAGTAAATTACTGAGGAAAATCCCAAATCAGATGATAACAATGAAAATGTTATACACCTTAAGTTTTTTCTGGGGAAGATCCCAACTTAGGATAACAAGTAAGCGTTATTAAACTTAAGAAACCACTAGGGAAGATCCCAACTTAGGATAACACACAAGTGTTATAGACCTTATGTTTAAACTTTAGGATCTTGACATATGTTCAGAAATAAGAGGGTTACCAAGTCACTAAAGTGTGAAATAATCTCTTATTCACTTCCCATAGTAAGATTTCGTGCGTCCAAGCGAGGTGTAGAAACCTTAACTAGTATGAAAGAGGTAATTAACTCTTTAAACCTTAGAAGGGATTAAGTACCCTTAGTCGTAGGAGAGATGATCAGTCTCTATTCGTAGTTATCTGGATAAGTTCCTATTGCAATCGTCAAGATTACAGAACCATGTATCTATTGGGATCCCTAAATCCTAGGATCCTCGAATGTCGGGATCATTACATGTCAGGATCCCTACCTATTAGGATCCTTGAATGCTAGGATCGTTATGTGTTAGGATCTTTGATTTCATGCGCATAGCAAATGTTAGCTGGGGGTGGGCATTAGCTTGGTTAACACCCCTCCGATGCTTAAGTTAGCATTGGCTTTCATAATAATAAAAATAATCAGATAAGAGTAGAGGATAGAAAGAGTGTACCTTGCATTTGTTTAAAAATGATCGACATAAGTTACATAAAGTATGCTTTTAGGTGGATGACATTCCAGGATCTTGGCATGACGTTACCTTTAAGGGTGGCTACCCAATATGCCCCCTTTCCTGCTTTTGAATCAATGAGATACGGTCCATCCCATTTAGGTGCCAATTTGAATGCACTGGGATCCTTGGTATTTTGGAACGTTTTCCTAAGTACCAAGTGACCTACCTGGAACCTTCTGACTTTTATGTTCTTGTTATATGCTTTAGTGATCCTTTGTTGATGATCAGCAATGTGGACCCTGGAAAGGTCCCTGAGTTCATCAATAGTATCAAGATCATGGGCTATGATCCTATAATTGCTCTCCTGATCTTGCAATTGATATATTGCTATTGGGATTACTACTTCAGTAGGGATCACGACTTCTGTTCCAAACACCAAGCAGTATGGACTTTGGCTAGTGGCTGCCTTTGAAGTGGTACTATCTGCACATAGGATGAGAGGAAGTTCTTCTGCCCATCTTCCTTTCTTCTCATCGAACCTCTTCTGTAAATTGTTGACTATGATCTTATTGTTGGTTTCAGTTTGACCATTAGCTTGAGGGTGGACAGGAATGGACATTATCATTTTAATCCCCCAACTTATGAAAAATTCTCTAGTCCTTTTGCTTATGAAATGGGATCCATTATCGCATATGATCTCAGCAGGGATCCCGAACCTAGCCAGGATATCTCGTTTGATAAACGAGACCACTTCCTTGTCTAGTACTTCAACAAAGGCTTTAGCCTCTATCCATTTCGAGAAGTAGCCTGTCATCACTAGGATGAACACCTTTCCCCTAGGGACCTTTGGTAGCTTGCCAACTATATCCATTCCACATTTAATGAATGACCAAAGGGAAATGAAAGGATGCAATGGTTCACCTGTTTGATGTAGGATATTGATCTGTCTTTGGCAAGCATCACATTTTTAGGCATGCAAGAAAGCATCCTTTTTCATTGTTTGCTAGTAGTATCCGGTCCTTAATGCTTTTTAGCATAAGGATCTGCCCCCATTGTGGTTTCCACAATCTTCTTGATCTTCTAAGTGTTAGGGCCAAGATCCTCAAACCTCATCAGGTATTCAGGATTCTCAACTATCTCAGGATCCCGACTATTACCGTTATTATTATTTACTAACACTTATAACAGTTATATTTCGTTCTCAATTAACACATGTGCAGAAATAGTCAAGAGAAGACTTATTCTCAACAGAGAGTCGTCTCAACTATGCTAAAGACCCGGAATACCAAGTCAAACAACGTTCATAAAGCTGGTCATAGAGGATCTCGCACTACTAGAAAACAGACCTTTAATGACGCGCAAACAATGACACACACTGATAGAGGACACGCATTTGTGCGTGCCCTAAAAATTAATGTCAATTTTCCAAAAATTTAAGGGTATAGGACACGTATTTTTGCGTGCCCTAAAATTTGAGTCAGAAAAGAAAAAAAAAGAAATACGGAGGGCGCCTTTCATAAAATGTTCGTCATGTAAGTGTGTCGCTTTATAATTTTTTAATGAAACACGCCTTTTAGGCGGGAAATGATATCGACAACACGGAGGAAACTAAATCCCCAAAATTTTGGTAGACCCGCCCATTCTTTCCTCTCCACCTGCCGATGACCTTCATTTTCTCCCCTCCTTCTCTCTGTAAAACCTAGCAGCTGCCACCACCAGAAACATGGTTTTATGTTGGCTTCGTTCTGTGTTGTAAAAACACGAGTCTGATCCTTCATTAACAGCTAAAGGGGGGAAATCCCGAAAAATTTTGAAGTACCCCGCTCACTCTCTCCTTAGATCTCCACCCGACGAATCGACCTTCATTCTCCCCCCCCCCACTCTCTGTAACACCCTCGCTTCCTTCCAGAAATCGAAGACCATTCTCTCTCGATCGTATCTTTATGGCGACGATTAGACACAATAATCTCAACATAAAATTGGTAACTGAACTCCTCGTCACCTCTACCCTACTCTATCTACAACGACTCCTCACGTTTACAAACCTTAGTCCAGTTGCGCTTCTAGCCTTGGTCCTATTTCTTCATCCGTTCAGCAAATAAGGGGAACACGACTTCTCATTCATCCCTCAACTTCATCTTCTCAATCAAGCAAAAAGGATTCTGATTTTTTTCGTGCATCTGCATCATCTCTGCTGCGATTTCACATGGTATTATCGATTTCTCCTTGATGCCTCCCATTTTTCCTGCATCTACTTCTCAAACTTTTGATATTTTCCTGCATTTGCAAGTCAAACTTCTAATTTTTTGCTTGCATCTTCTTCTCAATTAAGCAAAAAAGTATCACATTTGAAGACGAATCCTGATAAGGGCATTAATGATGACGAGGAAAACATATTGGACAGGAAAAATGTGTTTGGGTGAAACACAAACCCAAGGAAAAAGGGGCGAAGTTTTTGGGTAATTATATGTTCTTACTTCTCTTTAAACCAAAATTGATGACATTCATTATCTGAACATGTTTTAATCTAAATATTTTTGTGATATGCATTTGATAGAGGTTTCTGTTTGATGCTTGTCGTGATACAACATTGATCATTTTAATGGTAGCTGCTGCTGCTTCTTTAGCACTTGGTATTAAAACAGAGGTTAGTGAATCATATTTATATATTTTGTAATATAAATAGTTTCTTTTATGTTATAAAATATATCTTTCTGTTTTCTCATTGGTATCATCTATTTCTGGGGATTAAAGAAGATGGTATGATGGTGGAAGCATAGCTTTAGCTGTTATAATTGTCATAGTCGTTATAGGTACTTCATTAAGTAAATAATGATTTTGTTACATACACAAACTTATGTCTAAATGTTGTTGTATTAGGAAATATATAACACATTATTGTTGTTTCCTGTTTTGTAGCCATAAGTGATTATAAACAATCACTTCAGTTTCAGAACTTAAATGAAGAGAAACAGAATATACAGTTGGAGGTGGATAACTGGATATAATCTTTTAAACAACTTTTATTTATTTAAACATATTTGACTTTTGTTGACAAATAAACATTATATTGCTAGGTTATAAGAGGTGGAAGGAGGGTGGAGATTTCAATATTTGATATTGTTGTGGGTGATGTCATTACTCTTAAAATCGGGGACCAGGTAATATATTTCTCATTTCTATTTATTACCACATTTTAATTATTTCCATTTTTGCCCTTGTTTAACCTTCTTCTATAAACCAGGTTCCAACCGATGGGGTTTTGATTTCTGGTCACTCACTTTCAATCAAGTATGACTGGCGAGAGTAAAATTGTAAGTTTTTATAAAATTCTGTTACCTTGTGTTTTTTCTGAAATCTTTTTTAGGGTATATAAAGCAACTTTTTATTTTTATAAAAGTAACAGGTTCATAAAGATCATAAATCACCATTTTTAATGTCGGGGTGTAAGGTGGCAGATGGCTATGGTACTATGATGGTATGAAAGATGACATAATTATTTTTAATTGTTTTCCATGAATAAATAATAATCATAATCTTATATAATAATAACTATTTTTAGGCCACAAGTGTTGGAATACATACAGAATGGGGATTACTTATGCCCAGCATCTCAAAAAAGATAATGGAGAGGAAACACCATTACAGGTTAGTTTTTATAAAAGGTAAAAAGAAAATCATGTAAAGAGTCCTTCAAAATAAAGTTATTTTAATATTTAGTATTTACATTATTTATATAACTTTTTTGTAGGTGCGTTTGAATGGAGTGGCTACATTTATTGGTATAGTAGGGCTTGTGGTGGCTGTATCTGTTCTTGTCATCCTACTCATAAGGTAATTAATTCAAATTTGCATGGGTATAATCGTCATTTCACCTCTCATCCTTGCTTTTAAAATGATAAATTTTGTTCGTTAGGTTTTTTACTTGACACACAAAGGACGATAAGGATCAAGTGGAGTTTATTGCTGGGAAAACTAGTCTTGGGGATGCTGTTGATGGAGCAATCAAAATTTTCACTGTTGCAGTATGTATTTAGCAATTAGTATTTACTTCATGTATTTTTATTAAGTTTCCTTTTCTTACCCTTCTTCTAATTTGATGAATCTTTAGGTCACGGTTGTTGTGTTTGCGGTTCCAGGAGGACTTCCATTAGCTGTCACATTAACGTAAGTTGAACCTTTTCTTATAATTATTAATCCATTTCTTTTAAAATGAGTTTTTGATTAATAAATATAAATCATGTTGCTCATAATTACACGCTGGCATACTCGATGCGAAAAATGATGTCGGATAAAGCGTTGGTAAGTTTTATAATTTTGTTTACTATAAATCTCTCGGGGGCATTTTGGTAATTTTTCACGTGCAGGTTCAGATGCTATCTGCTTGTGAAACAATGAAGCCTTGACATTGAATTTGGTGCGATATTTTCTTTTTTTTATTTATTTTGACATGTAAAAAGTAAAAAAAAAAACACTTCAATATATTTACCTGTTTGTCTTATTGTTTTCAGATGACTGTTGTTGAGGCTTATATTTGTGGGAAGAAAAACGATCCACCAAATGACACGTCAGCATTACCTCCAAAGATTGTATCTCTTCTTGTTGAAAGTGTAGCTCAAAATACAACTGGCAGTGTATTTTTACCTGAGGTAGGTCTTTTCAAATATAGTAAATCTTTTTCTATAATATTTAATATTAAATGATACGTATTATTTTTGGTGTTCAATAGGGAGGTAGACACAAAACTTAGATACTTCACCAGGGTATTCAGAAACTTTATCTACTAAAAATTCTGATGCTGATTTTTCTACTTTTTTTAATTTGGGGGGAGGTAGTTGTAAGTTTCCTAATCCATCTGATCCATGGATGAAGTCTTGAATCTCTGGCTCTCCTCCCTATGACAAAATTAGAGTTTAACTCAAAGATAAATACATAATACAATTTTTTTTAAATAACTTTAATTATAAATGGGAATGTAAATTGTACCTTTAGTGGTTCAGAACTACCCTCAGCAACAGGAACATCCAAACGTCCTGCAATTTCACACTATCCTTTTGCACATGAAAACTGGTGATGTAAGGGAAAAAGCAATTTTTGTTTGTTTTTATTTAATAGTTTTGAAACTGTTGCATAAATGAGTTGTAATTGTTTGGATGTAGGACATATGGTGGTCAAATGAAATTGTGTACAAAATGTTATATGAAATGGATGTAAGAATATTATGTGGATACTAGAACAGGTAAGAGATCATCATTAAGCTTCAATTTCTGTTTTTTAAATTTGCTCATAAGTTAAAATTTTGATTTCTAGTTTCCATAGATCCAACCTTTAAGTTTTCATCCTCAAAGGTAATGCATGTTTGCTGAAATACCAGACGACTATGAATAGATATAGACTCTATAAATGGTCGGGTGGGTATTTTTTTTTCTGAATTTGACATATATTTGTTTGTTCGGTTGTGCAAAGACAAATAGATGGAGTTTAACAGCACATGCAGCTAGGAAAATGGATTGGAGTGGGACAACAAATAGAACAAGTGCAACTAGGGTATTTGTTTTCTGAATTTGACATAACTCTATCTTTTATTTTGTTTTTCATCGAACTTTTTCTGATTGTTTTTTGTAATTCTAATTCAAGTTTGTAAATTTGCAAGTTTCGTTTCTGATTAATGGTGGAATGTTCTCTAGGGAAGTGGATTGGAGTGGCCAATCTTGCAATGATGGGATGCACCATAGGAGTGGAATACAGTTTCACTGACCACACTTGCTTGTGGATTAGGGTAAGTTTGTTTATCTTTGTTTGCATGAGTCATACTTTCCATACCTAGTTTACACATTGCTTTTGAGTTTAAAAATGTTCCTAGTGAACTACTTTACTTTTTTTATAGTGATATTACTGGTTTGGCAAAACACAAAATTTAACCTCCAAGAAATGGCTATTCATCATATATGTACCATTTGCTCATTTATCGTCTAACCCTATTAAATAAATCACATACAATAGGAATTACACCAAACTCATCTTTAGGAGCAGTAGTATCAGATCAAGAAAGAAGTTGACAAAATGACCATTCATGAGCCGGTTCTTGGTCTTTGACAAAATGACCATTCACTTTTCCTTCATTTGACCACTCACATTTGGCACAAGTATTTGCAACTAACATTCCTTTTTTGATTATTCTATTAGTTATATTAGCATATTAAGTTTTTGACTTTTATTTGATCAGGTCACAAGAATTATCGGAGCAGGGGTTCATTAGTCTTAACGAATTATGAAAGGCAAGATGCAACTCTACTTAGTTGGAATTTGATGTTTATCATCTTTTTGTATATCTTTTTAGTTTGTATAGCATTACTTTGCAGAAGGTGTCTCTTGATACGCAATGTAGTATTAGGTTATATAGTTAGGGAAAACCTCTTAATAACAATGTACAATTAGATCCCCCTAATATCAATGTATTACACTTTTTTGACATGATGTTATTGGATGAAATTGATTGTTTTGGTATATATTTGTTTACATATTTTTGTATTATGCATAAATGAGTATCGTAAAGATGCGTCGTAAGTGCATATCGTAAATGGTTACTGAAGTTTATGACACACAAATGCGTGTCATCTTCATTTATGACAGGGGCTTCCTTGATACGCATTGCGTGTCATAAACACACGCGTCATAAGGTTACGACACGCAAATGCGTGTCGTCTTCCTTTATGACAGTGCCTTCCTTGATACGCATAGCGTGTCATAACTGCGTGTCGTAAATGCGTGTCATAAATGCGCGTCGTAAAAAGACGACGCACAAAAGCGTGTCGTCTCTCGTTATGACAGGGCCTTCCTTGACACGCATTTGCACGTCGTCTGAGCGTTTTATGACACTCATTGCGCGTCGTAAAAGGCTGTTTTTCTAGTAGTGTCGGGAATATCGGACATCTTGTTAGCTAGTTTAGACTAAAATTGACACATGTATCTCGCACGCGACACAATCTACCTACTCTTAGCTTACTCTACGAACTTTTTCACTTGTTCATACTAAAATACTCTCTATAATCATCATTTTATATTAATAAAATCATCAAGGCAGGTGATCATTATCACCTCCCAAGGTTTTGTGTCGGAGATCCTAGCAAGGATCAAGGGCTTTCCATGTAAACAATCATGTCATTCTCTTTACCTTTCTTTATTGCACAATTCGAACATCACAGCCTCTCATTCAATTTGGTTGATTTATACTTGTGTAATGTTTGACCAAAACACTTTAGTGCCCACCGTGGGGCCGTTGTGTTTAAAATCCTCGAAAAATCATGTCTACACAACCGATCCTTTCTTCATCCTCCGCTCCTTCCATTCCATCCAAAAACCTACCACCTCCTCTGAGAGGACCCCCTGTTCAGAGGAAAGCGTCTGATACTTACAAGAGAAACACCCCTCCGGTCACTAACCAAGGAAGTTTGGGATCTTCAGGACTCCAGGATCCGACTGCTCCGGTCACTGCTGCTGAACTATTCGCTATGATGAGGAAAATGACGCAACAGATGACTCAACAACAAGACGATAATAGAACACTACTTAGAGAAGTGGAAAGGATGAAGGCGGAATTTCAGAGATCCAAGGAAACGATGCCCATAGTTGTAAAACCAAGGATCCTGAACTTTGAAAATGCAGGATCCTCACGAAATTAACAGGGGAACACAACTCCTGCTACTGCTGCATCACCCTGGGGGACGACTATTAACAATCGAGCATCTATGGTCAATGATCTCGATGAGCCTTTCAACACTCCTAAAAACCTTGATTCTAATAACTTCTTAAACAATAATACTATCAATACTAACTCTATGAATGTTGATGCAGTAATAAGTCTAAACATGGCTAGGGAACTTCAGTAGTTGAGACAGATGATCTCAAGCGTACCCGGGGTAGTTCAACCCATACCAGAAGCATCTCCAACAAGTCATAGGATCTCGAGATTTTCTCCTGCGATAGCCGATACCGAAGTTCCTAAGCGCTTCCAGACTCCTAGCATGAAGCCTTATGATGGAACTACAGATCCTGAAGAGCACGTAGCACAATACCGAGAAAGGATAGAGATCATTCCCATCCCAGTACACTTGAAGGAAGCTTTCCTATGCAAAGGCTTTGGTTCAACCCACACGGGATCAACTCTTAAATGGTTGCTAAACGTTCCTCCCTATTCTATTACTTCATTTGCACATTTAGTCAATCTTTTCAATAACTAGTTTTCTTGTAGCAGAACCTTCGAGTAGATCACTAGAGATCTCTATCGGGTGGTTCAGGATCCTAAGGAATGACTTAGGGATTTTGTTAACATGTTTGGCATGGAAGATCTGAGCATCCCCAACATTGACATGACGACTGCTATGGAGGCCTTCAATATGGGCCTAAGGAAGGATTCACCCTTCTATGAAGAACTCATGATGAGTCCATGCAAGAGATTGGACGAAGTTAGGTGCCGAGCATTGAGGTTCATAAGGCTTGAAGAGGATAAAGAAGTCCAGAAAAGGAGAAACCCTTCAAGTCAATATGATAATCCCAATAGGAAGGCCGAATCCTCGGCTCCAAAATCCTACAAATCGAATCCCTATTCCAAACCAGATCATCACAGGGTTAATGCCCTCGATGATGAAGGAGAGGAAGAGCAACCTCCTAAGATCACTAACTATTGTTTTTCTGTGGATGTTTCAGGTTTAATCTATGCTATGCAGGATCTCGGAGACAAATCAAGGTGGCCAAAGAAGGATAACAAGTCCACCAGTTGGAAAGACAAGTCCAAATGGTGTGCTTACCACAAAGATTTCTGTCACATGACGGAGGATTGCATAGCCCTAAGAAAGGAGATCAGCTACCTCCTTAGCAAATGGCATCTTAAAGAAACCCTCGGAAGAAAGAAAGAAAAGTCCAAGGAGAACAACCAAGATGGTCAGAAGATCCCGGAGAAACCAGGATCTCTACCCCCAAACGCCAAGATAATTAACGTTATCTCAGGCGGATCTAACATTCATGGTACTTCTTCTTCTCAGGCTATAAGACAACCCAAGGTCTCTAAAACAGAAAAGGAGGATAGATCACGGAAGAATACCTTGGTTATCAATGAAAAGAAAATCACGTTTGATGAGACGGACAGGGAAGAGATCCAGGATCCTCACCGTGGCGGACTCGTGGTACCACTTTACATTGTCAACCACTTCCTCAGAAGGATCCTTGTTGACGGAGGATCCTCGGTCAACATCAAACTCTTGGACACACTGAAGAGGATGAACATCCTGGAATCAGGGATAATTAAAAGATCATCGGTCCTCATAGGATTTAGTAGAGAAACAAAACACACCATCGGGGAGATAAAGCTACCAATATACATAGAGGGGATAAACTATATACAAAATTTCTATGTTATTAACACCTTATCTTCTTATAATGTGATATTAGGTAGACCGTGGATCCACGAGATGAAAGCGGTTCCATCAACATATCATCAGTGTGTAAAGATGCCTAATCCGTTGGGAACAATTAAGACCATGGGAGATCAACAAGAGTCAAAGGAATGTTATAAAACCTCAATAAAGCCTACGACGAAACCTCAACAAGCATAGCAATTAAGGCAGGGGCACGACATGTTCTAGAAATGAAGGACAAAATGTGAAGGAAGTGCCCCTGAGCATCGAGGATCCTGAAGCCAAAGTCCTCATAGGATCCTCAATACCTGAGAAAATTGAGCAATACCTGCTAAACTTCCTTCGAACCAGAAGCAAGACGTTCGCATGGAAACACAATGATATGACAGGTATAGACAAGAGTATTATCACTCACAAACTTAATATTGATCCTTCTTTCAGACCGATACATCAAAAGAGAAGGAAGTTTGCACCCGAAATGATTTAGAAGAACTGAAAGTGGTGAGTATGTGTAGACTACACGGATATTAACAAGGCATGTTCTAAGGATCCTTTTCCTCTGCCACACATTGACTCCATGATAGATGCAACGGATGGCCACAAACTCTTAACCTTCATGGATGCTTCAGCAGGATTCCAACAAATCCAGATGGAACCATCC